GTTTCCCAATATATCATGCACCCTAATAAATTTACCTGGGGTCAGAGAACAGAACATAGAGGCCAGAAAATAGTGGCACTCACATCTTTAATCTTTTTTTTTTTTTTTTTTTTTTTTTTTTTTTTTTTTTTTTTTTTTTACATTCTCACCCACCTCACTTTTTATTATTTTTTTTTTTTATTTTTTTTTTTTTAATTTATTTTAATTTATTTTGCAATACAATTCAGTTCTACATATTGGTCACGGATTCCCTTGTTCTCCCCCCTCCCGTCCCCCTCACCTTCCCCCCAACGCCCCCCCCCATTTGTGTTGTTTCTTTTTTTTTTTTTTTTTTTTCCCCTTTTCTATTTTAATAAAAAGGAAAAAAAAGAAAAAGGTTATAACTAACAAAAGAAAAACTATATACAAAAGTACAATGACTATATACAATATATACAAGTAATAAATGTCTAAACAATGTCTAGTCCATTTCCCTGAAGTGGCCTTCGCAATTTGGAAAAGGTACAGTGCCCTTTTCTTCGAAGGCAGCTGAATAGGCAGTGGGCCGATGGCTTCTGATGTGCAATGGAACAGCAGCTGAAACAGTTATTCTTGAAGAGTAACTAAGCTCATGCCTCGCAATAGTAAACTGGCATTTGACAGAGGGATGTGGAGAAGAACGGGATGGTAAGATGAAGCCATATATACACAGCCAAGAATGGACAGCTGAATTAAAAAATCAACAACAATTTCCAGAATTTAAAATCCTGAATCATGACATGACACTAGTGGAATTCAGGTGTTTCTGGTACGTGGACTGCTCTCACCCAATGTGAGGTTGAACTGTCGACCTTGTGTACATCCTACTTCACAAATGAGTCTGTCAGATATGCTAAGCCTATAGGCTGAAGATGATGCCCCAACACTGTGGAGAAACCTCAGGTGACTGTCCAGGCAGCTGGCTGTTTCTGTCAACTCACAAATTTTTTGGAAGTTGCTTGCATGCACTTTCTGTTTTTATTTTTGTTAGCTAATATTATTTCCTTCTTGGGTCTCTGAGGGAGTTGAAGATTAGTTAGTTATAGTTGAAGGTTAGTTAGTTATAGTTGAAGATTAATTAGGATAGAAAGTGAATTAGATACATTTTGGACTTAACAAAATAGGATAGATAATGAAATTATTTTCTCTGAATTTGTCAAATACAAATGGACTACACATCTTTAATCTTATCACTTGGGAGGCAGAGATCCATCCAGATCTCTGTGAGTTTAAAGCCACACTGGAAACAGCCAGGCATGGTGACTCATGCCTTTAGTTCCAGGAAGCAATGGCAGAAAGCAGAAAGGCATAAAAGGTGTGAAAACCAGGAACTAGGCTGCTTAAGCTTTTAGGCTTTTGAGCAGCACAGTTCAGCTCAGAGGCATCCAGTCTGAGCAAACAGAATCAGCTGAGGAATTGGCAAGGTGAGGTGGCTGTGGCTTATTCTGCTTCTCTGATCTTCCAGCATTCACCCCAATACCCAGCTCCAGGTTTGTTTTTATTAATAAGACCCTTTAAGATTCATGCTACAGGAGACCACTCTCTGAGCAGAACCATGAGGATTTGTTAGATAAGTAAACTTCTCTGCTAGTCCATGATTGTCTATGCTAGGCTATTTAAGATGGGAAGACCCACCTTAATTGTGGGTGACATCATATCATGGAAGAGGTCCTGGACTGAATAAAAAAGGAGATGTATTTACTATTCATTTTTCTGTAGAAAATTCTTAGAATCCTATCAATATTCCATTGCAGGAGTTCTTTTCTGCTCATTCCTATTTAGGGTTCTATATGCCTCCTGTGCTTGGATATTAGTATTTGTCCTTAGTTCTGGGGATTTGCGGGTATAACTGAGGGTCAGTTTGCACTACAGAACCAAAAGAGGAAAAAGAAACATGAAGGTGATAAAATGCCAAAGGCTTTGGCATGCTAATGCACACCTGTAATTCCAGCACTAAGAAGGCAGATAGAAGAACTGCCTCCAGGTCAAGGTCAGTCTGGTCAATGTAGTGAGTTCTAGCTAGCCAGGGATTCATACCAAGACTGTGTCTCAATGAGATAAGAGAGAAGAAAGGGAGCAACTAAGATAAGACTGGGAAAAAGAATGTGAATCAACATACAAGAAATACCAGGGGCTAGAGGAGAAAACTAACAAGTCATGGTGGTGCCCTGCATGACAGTACTCAGAAGGCCCAGGCAAACAGATCTCTGTCAGTCTGAGGCCAACCCTGAGATACACACTGAGATTCTTTCTAAAAGGTAAATGAAGGAAACAGCCATAAAAACCAACCAATACTATTACATTAATTGACCACTCCCTTGTTGAGATATGCATGGATTTTCACCCCACCAGTAGGTTTCCTGTCTTTTCAAGCATTACATGTATATGTATCTTATTACAAAGAGGAGCATGAACTTTGAGGAATAAGAATACATAAGGAGGGTAGTGGTGGCCCACACCTTTAATCTCAGCATTCTGGAGTCAGAGGCAGGCAGATCTCTGAATCAAGGCCAGTCTGGTCTATGACCAAGTTAAAGGACAGCAAGGGCTACACAGAGAAACCCTGCCTCAGGGCTGGAGAGATGGCTCAGATGTTAAGAGCACTGGCTGCTCTTTCAGATGTCCTGAATTCAATTCCCAGCAACCACATGGTGGCTCACAACCATCTGTAATAATAACTGGGCTCTCTTCTGGCCTGCAGGTGTACATGAACACAGAACACTCAAGTTAAAAAGAAAAAGAAAGAAAAAGGAACCCTGTGTAGAAAAATATAAACAAGCAAAAGTATCTAAGCAGCTTGAGAATTCCAAGGACATGAAATGGCCTCTCCTGTGAGAAACTCGTTTTGAGTTTTATGTGACTGGAGGGAAGATGGTAGACAGCTTCCAAAGAAGTATGCTGCCTTTAGGTCCCAATGGTTCTTTTCTATTTGGACCCAAGGTTCAAATGAATGTGATCATGTCCACTGTAGATGCTTTGTTTTGTTTTTGAGATAGATAATCACTAGTACATAGAACTGGCTTACCTGGAACTCACCATGTAGACCAGGCTAAGCCTCACACTCACAGAGCTCCACTGTCCTCTGCAGCCTAGTCCCCTGCAAGAATTTAAAGAAAGGTTTATATGAAATGTAACCTTCTGAATGAACTATGTGAATCAGATTTAGTGCAGACAGAATGAGAACCAGTATGGTGGTGCATGCCTTTCTTCCCAGCACACAGACGGAGTCAGATCTCTTTGATTTTGAGGCCAGCATGGTCTACATAGAACTATGTCAGTCAGGGAAAAAGATTTCTTGGGAAAGTCCCATTTCTTGAGCTTCGTTGTCTCAACTCTGTGATAGGAAGATGAAGGGCCTCAAGTGTCTCTTTAGAACATCTCATCAGGAATTTCCTTTATCTCAGCACTCAGGAGCCAGAAACAGTGAATCTCTGTTAGTTCAAGGCCAGCCTGGTCTATAGAGTGAGTTTCAGGACAGCCAGGGTTACAAAGAGAAAGCCTGTTCTGAAAAACCAAAACAAACAAACAAACAAACAAAAAAATTAAAACAAGCAAATAAAAAATAGAATATATCTCCATTCTTGCTAGGATATTTGTGAAATCTTAGGTCTGAGCGAAGTTATCTCCTGCACTACTGTCCACAGAAGTTTTGGAGGTGGACTCCTGTGTAGCCAGTGGAGGAGCAGGGCTTTGAGCATTGGCCATAAATGCCACACCTTCACTCTATGCAAGTGTTTGATTAATTTCAATCCCCAAACTCAAGCTGGACCTGAGAGTTTGTACTCAGATGTCCACTTGCATGCTCTGCCAATCTTAAGAATCTCTTTTTGAAGCAGGGTGTGGTGGTGCCTAAAACCTGTTTTTACTGGGAAATAACAAAATGCAGGGAGTTAGGACTCTGTATAGTGCTTGGCTTGAAAATGGAAAAATAAATGAATGGATAAGTGGAAAAAAAAACCCTGTTTTTACATTGTCAGTTGTTAGATCTGTGGATCTCAAGGCTTCCCTTTACTCTCTGCTTGGGGTCTCACTGAGGATAAGTCTGACAGTTCCCTAAAGCTTTCCTCACTGTTCTATAATAGGGTCTTTAGTTTCCTTTATGAATTCTAAGTTCAGGGGCCAGAGAGAGAGGGCTGTTTTGATCCTAGCCCCTAAATGCTGACTCACAACCCTCTCTGACTACAGTTCCAAGGGATCTGACACCCCCTTGTGGTCTCTGTGGGCACTGCATGCAAGTGGTGCACAGACAACCAGGCAGGCATCACCCACACACATGAAAGTAAAAATAATTTTGAGGTTGAGTTTATTTTTAGCTTTCCTATCATGTACCTTCTTTTTCTCCTGGCTATGCAGCCCAGGATAGCCTCCAAGTCACAGATCCTGCTGCCTCTCTCTCCAGTACTGGGATCAAAGATGTATGTGTTACTACAGGCAGATTAAAATAAATCTTAAAAAGTCTTGGTTCAGCCCCTCTAGTGCTGAAATTATAATCATATATGCTGTGGAATAATCATTTTGTACACTGTGAAGATTTGTCACTGTGATTGGTTTAATAAAGAAGCTGACTGGCCAGTAGCTGAACAGAATCAGGTTAGGCAGGAGAGCCACACTAGGAGCATGCTGGGAGGAAGATGAACCAGCCAGCCAGAGATGGAGTCGATGAACCTGCCATGTTAATAAAGGTACTGTCACATGGCAGAACTTAAATAAGGAATATGTGTTAACTTAAAATGTAAGAGGTAGTTAGCAATGAGCCTGAACAATTGGCCAAGCATTTATAATTAATATAAGTCTCCGTGTGTTTATTTGAGAGTGTCTGTAGGACAGGAAACCTCTACCTACATATACACAGTCACATAGAGCAGTTTTGTTTGTGATGTTTCTAGGGATTGAATTTAGGGTCTTGTGCATACTTGATCCTTTAACTTCTAAACTCTATTCAGCCCTTCTATACATTAACATTTGTACTCCTTGATTTTATCATGACCACCTCAGGTCAGTATATCTGGATCTTGAGCCTGCAATCAAAAAGGCCAGCCCCAGAGGTGACCACTCAGGCTCATCTTCCTAACTGTTGCATTTGCATGAGAGACTAGAATCTGACCAGAACTTCATTGTCTCAGCATCATCAGAGGGACAGAGAAGAGCAGACGTGCACTGTCTCCACAGTTTACTTAAAGTACTTGCAGTTTTTATTTCTTTTGCTATGATAAAACACTCTGGAAAACCAAACTTAGGGAAATTTAGGATTGGGGGGAAGGTTTATTTCAGTTCACAGTCACAGATTACAGTCCATCACTTTGGGGAGTCACAGCTACATGAACTTGAAACAGCTGGTCACATGACAGCTGCTGCTAGGAGTAGAGAGAAAATGAATGCATGCAGACAATTTCTCTACCCTTATATACTTTAGTCCCCCAAGCAGTGAAAAGTACCATACACTAAAGCAGGGAATAGTGCCACACACTCTCATTTTGGGTCTTTCCATGCTAATTAAGGCAACCAAGACAATCCACCAGGCCAACCCAATCTAAAAAAACCTCCTGAAGCTCAATTTCCAGGTGCTGGTTGGTTGTGGCATGTTGACAAATAGAACTAACCATCACAATTAAACATCAGGACAGAAAAAGAGAGCAAACACACTCTGAGCATGTCTTCCAGACAATGGGCACAGCTTCAATAGCTCAGAGGTTAAAGCGTGTACTTGAGAATGTAAGTGAGACGGCTCAGTGGTTAAGAGCATACATTGCTCTTACAGAGGACCTGAGTTCAGTTTCTAGCCTCTCCACTGGGTAGTTCAAAACTGCCTGTAATGCTAGTTCTAGGGACTCTGATCCCCTCTTCTGGATACTGAGGGCACTGCACTCACATGGGCAAAAATACACACACTTATACATAATTAAATAATTTTTATTTAAAGGATATGAGTAACTCCAGTTTCTGCTAATTGTAATTGATAAATCATAATTGTAAATATTTAAAGAAAATGTAAGCTTTCCCATATTGTTGTACTTGAGGCATGAAGAGAGAAATAAAAGCCAATTTTGGTCAGTTAGCCTTTTACATAAACATTGTGATCAATATATTTTGAGTCACAATCTCTGTAATGTGTTTTTTGGTTGTTTGCTTTTAGAATACATGAGTTTTCTTTGTGAAAAAGAATGGCTCCTCCAAAGTTAAAGAGTTTTGTCCAAATCTGAAGCAAAAAACAGCAGCAAGCACATCCAGGCTTCTCAGTGGAAGAAGCAGTTATCCAAATAGTAGAAAGAAAATAGAAGGTTAATCTGGTGGTTTCCCTGAAGCTGAAAGGAAGGAGCAGGGTTTTTCAGCTGGGTTATAATGTTGCAGGTGTAGTGGTTAGTTGATTTGAGACAGGAGTGCATCATCTGTATTTAACTCTGAAAGATGACACTTTCTTTACCCATTGACAAATTATCTTCCATAGATATTGAAAGGTTGAAGTATTTCCTGGATTTTTTTCATCTATCTGAATCCCAACAACTCGAGGAACCCAAGAGTAATCAGCATATTCCTGAAAGCAGTGATCCAGTTTGCAGGAAGCACCAGGAGATTGTTTGTGGATCCTTGAATACTCCAGAAGAACGTGGGACTCCACTCCCCATGAAGATGCCAGTTTCAGAGCCAAACTCCAGCAGCAGTCATGTTGAAAAAGAGAGTGGAGAAACACAGAGCAAAAACAGGAAGAGAAAATCAACATGCACTGTTGAAGTGAATGAGGACATTCTTGAAGAAAATAATCCTGAATCAGAAAAGAAATCCAAGACCTATAACTCCAGGAGTAAAAGAAGTGAAGAAGTGTAGCATGAGTTTTCCTGCCTGGCCCACAGTCAGGACAAATCTCTCTCACCCGCCAGTCCCAAGCTGCTCAAACCAGACCAAGTAAACACAGAGACTTATATTGGTTACAAACTGTATGGCCCTGGCAGGCTTTTTGCTAACTGTTCTTACAGCTTAAATTAATCCATTTTCATTAATCTATACCTTGCCACATGGCTCATGGCTTACCGGCATCTTCACATGCGGCTTGTCATCATGGCAGCTGGCAGTGTCTCTCTGCCTCAGCCTTCCACTTCCCAGCTCTATTCTCCTCCTTGTCCCGCCTATACTTCCTGCCTGGCCACGGACCAATCAGTGATTTATTTATTGACCAATCAGCAACACATTTGACATACAGACCATCCCACAGAAACCAATGGCTTTAAGAGATCAGGAAAAGCTTGACATTGGGAAACTTGAACCTTCATTCAATCCCAACACCTGCTTGGGTCCTAACCTAGATAACATTGTTCTTCCAGCACTAATATGGTCTGAAAGTGGATTAAAGTTTAGCCAGGAGACCCAAATATATACATATAATGAAGTCCAGCCTCCTCTTGAGACTTACGCAAAGCAACTGAACCGTGAAGGCTTCCCCAATTTGGGAAATACCTGTTACATGAATTCCATTTTACAATCTGTCTTTGGGATTCCAACCTTTGCAAAGGACTTGCTCACACAAGGTATCCCATGGGAGAAAGTTTCAGATGGTGATCTTATCAAGCTCTTAAGGCAACTGCTTTCCTTGAAAGATATGGAGGATATAGAGATCAAAGGAATGTTACTCATGGATGTGAAGAAATCCATTTCGATGGTTGCAAAAACATTCTTGGGCAATGAACAGAATGATGCCCTTGAATTTCTAAGTCACTGTTTAGACCAGTTGAAAGTGAATATGGAAAAACTGAATACCACGTGGATCACTGAGAAGGATAATGAAGCTGAGAGATCATCTCCATCAACATGTGCTGGGACTGCCATCCCCAAAAGGTTTGTTTGTCCTGTCAGTGCTAATTTTGAGTTAGAGCTGCAGAGCTCTATTGTTTGTGAAGCCTGTGGTGAGGCTACTCTCAACACTGAAGTGAATAATTACCTCTCTGTTGACCTGCACCAAGGGATAAGAGAAGAGCCTCTGTCTATTCAAAAGTCTCTTGATCTTTTCTTTACACCAGAAAATATTGAGCATAATTGTGCGAAGTGCAAGAACAAGAATTCTGTTCTCAAGTACACTTTGAAGAGGCTCCCCAGGGTCCTCATTGTTCATCTGAAACGCTACCACTTGACCGCTGATGGGTTGTTGGTGAAGAGTCAACAGCCAGTTGAGATTTCTCAGTATCTAAATGTATCTTCCCACTACAATGAAAACAAGAAACCACCATTTCCCTTGACTGATAAGGTCCCACTTGATGCCTGTGATGTCCCAAATGTCCCTGAAGGGATGATGCCTCTCAGCCAGTCAATACCATCTAGTAATGTGAAGAACTATGAGAAAATTAATGCAGATGGAATGTCAGATCATCACACTACCACTAAGGTTGTCAGTTATTGTGATCTTAATGAAGAAAAGATTCTTGAAGGATCTCAAAAAATGGCGGAACAGCTGCTCCCTAATTATGGGAATAGATTCCACAAGGAATTCCTTACTCAGGCATCACCTCAAAGTGTTGGGGGTGCTCAGGAGGATACAGAGAAGGATCTGAATAAATCTTCAGAATTGAGAGATCAGAAAGATGATGAAAATTCCCTTGGTGCTTCAGAGAATCCTAGAAATAACAATGTTCCAGGAAGTTACAACACAGTAGATGCTGTTGATGAGTCAAAAAATGTGGTATTGGGAGATGATCCTCAGATTTACAGACTTGTCAGTCTTGTCAGCCATGTTGGGAGCTCCCAAGATTCAGGTCATTATGTAAGCAATGTGTATGACTTTCAAAAGCAAGCATGGCTCCTGTACAGTGATGTCCAAGTATTTGAGATTCCAGAGGCCTTGATTGAGGAGACTGATCTTCACACTGGATACATTTTTTTTTACATGCAAAATGAGCTTTTTGCGTGGCTGTTGAAAAAGCCATTAGAGTGCTAATTACTTAGAACATCTGAAGAGCGAAAGAAGAATGTGGATCATTTCTCACCATTGCTTAATGGCTTACACACTTCCTAGAAGAATCCATTTTGAAGACTCATTTAGGTCAATTGAAAACTCAGCAAACAAAACAAAACAAACAACATATTAGGACAGAAACCCACACATCCGTGATGCAGGCTATGCACCATTTTCTCCTACAAGACTATAGTGATGCTTTTTACATTTTTTTTGTTTGTTTGTTTTTGTTTTTTTTGGAACAGTATTTCTCTGTGTGGCTCTGGATGTTTTGGAAGTCGCTCTGTAGAGCATGCTGGCCCCAAACTCAGAGATATAACTTCTTTAGCCTTCCAACTGCTGCTATCTAAGGTGTGTGCCACCAATCCCACAGGATGGGAGAATATTTTAAAAAACATTTTTGTATTTTTATTTAATGTGTTTTTCCAGCATGTATGTCTGTGTGAAGGTGTTGGGTTTCCTGAAACAGGAGTTAAAGGCAGTTGTGCCTGCACGTGGCTGCTGGGAATTGAACCCAGACCCTCTGGAAAAGCAGCCAGTGCTCTTACCCACTGAGCCTTTTTCTCCAGACCTAACACAATGTTTTTTTAGCTGTCATTCTGTACCAACACAACACAGCAAAGAACTGACTAAATGTCCCAGTGTTAGTATCCTACATCATAATGGGTTCAGAACAAGTACTGATGGACTTAAATGTTTGAGAAGTGGTGTATAAAATGTCTTATTTTATTAGGGTATATATGATTTGCTCAAGTCATCTAGAGGATTTTCATGATATTGTTTGCTTTCCCTAAATTCATGTGCACCATTCTATTGTGAATTTATTAAAACCATTGTTTTCTCTACGTGTCGTGACTACTGCCAATGAAAGTATGGAACTGCCCACCAACTGGTTTTGTGCTTCCTTCTCAGACTTGCAGGGCAGGGCATAACACCAGGGTTGCACAAGAAAAGAAATAGATAGGAATGTAAATTTTGCAAATTCAAAAGCTCTCTAAGGGCTCAGTGGATGAAAACACCTGCCACCAAGTCTGATGACACCAGTCCTGCAAGCTGTCCTCTGACCTCTAGAGGAGCTAGCACATGTGCATATATATGTGTAAATCAATGAGTAAAAAATCTAATAAGTTTTTGAATCTCACTATGTAATTTTCTCTGGCTTGGTACTCTATTTAGATCTTGTATTCTACAAGACAGATGTGCCCTTGCTTTGCCATCTGAGTGCTAATTTTTAAATGTCTGGACCACAATGCCTAGCATAATAACATTTTAAAAGCACTTTAAAAAGAATTGTTTTTTCAGGGCTGAGGACAGAACCCAGGGCGTTACACTTGCTAGGCAAGCGCTCTACCACTGAGCTAAATCCCCAACCCCTAAAATATTTTTGAAGTGTCAAATATACTTGTTATATTCAAATCCTGATGATATGAGAAAATGGAGGGGTTCAAGGGACAGGGGGTCTGAGACAGACAGTCCTTTAGGTGAGAGCCTCATATATTAACACAAACAGCATGGTGGGCTTCTAAAGAGAACATTTCAGTTCATAAGACAAAGCAAGGTTTCCTTTAGTTCCCAAGAGATAGAAGAGACCCAGTGCCAAAAGGCAGCAGTCTTCCTTAATACATAGCCCAAAGGACAGGCTTGTTTTCAGCCTGTTAACCTGATTCCTGGGTAGCAAGGGAAAAGGGAAACCAGCTGGGGTTGCTGGTTACGAGGTGTGCAGCCTGATCTGATATACCCACACCACACCTGTTTCAGACACACAAAAAAATAGTACTGATCCTCTGAAGGGTCTGGGGAGATGGTTCAGTAGGTCAGAGTACTTGCTGTGTCAGCAGGAGGATTCGAGTTCAAATCCCCAGCACCCACATAACAAACTCCTCATTGCCATGTATGCCTGTGACTCAGCACTGGGGAGTAGACAAGGGTGGATTCCACAGCTCACTAACCAATCAACATAGCCACAATGGGAAGTGTAAGGTTCAGGTGTGGGACACTGAACAGAGAAAACTGCTGGGCCAATGTGCTAAGGTCTGGGGCCCTCTTCCACAGTTAGATAGTATTTCAAAAAGGAAACATGTGAAAAGTGATAGAAAACACTCTATGGCCTCTGGCCTTCACATGTGAATGCTCACAGGTGGAAACACCACACAAATGGTATTTTCCAAATTCCACTTTTGGGCTGCAGAAATGGTTAAGATCACTTGCTACACTTTCAGAGGACCAACCTTCTCTTCCCAGTGTCCACATGATGGTTTCCACCCTCTGTAACTCCCGATACAGAGGATCAAGTGCCCTCTTCTGGTTTTGTTGTATGCAGACAAAACACTTCTACATTACAGCACTGACTACTTTTACCATCAAAAATTCACAACAGAGCTTTGTGGCTAATTTAAAGAGCTTATACAATTCCCAGTAATATACTGTGTAAGAAGATATACATAAGTTAACAATTTGAGGGTAGAAAAAAATTCTAAAAGCCTGGTAATGTTTAAAATATGGGGCCAAATTAAGTGAGGGTTATAGGCGAAAGAAGAGATTAGTTAAGAACAGTGGTTCAAATACCCAATTTTCCAATTAAAAAACTGGGTGCAGATCTAAACAGAGACTTCTCAACAAAAGAATCTCAAATGGCCAAGATATACTTAAGAAATTGTTCAACATCCCTTGTCATCAGGAAATGCAATTATTTATTTCACCTTGTGTTTTTTTGTGTGCTTCTGTCTCTGCACATCATGCATGAAGTGCTCAAAGTGACCACAAGATGGGGGTAGATACCTTGGAATCGTGGCCAGAGAGACTTGTGAGCCACATTTAGGTGCTGCAGCTTAACAGCCATCAATCTGGACCCTGAATTTAGAATTCATAAAAGAAACTAAAGATCCTAATGTAGAACATATAGGAAGGCTTTAGGGAATAGACGCTTTAGCTGGAACACGGTACTCGACTCCTTGGCTTCTGTGAAGATGGTGTTCTTGTGGCGGCAGATCATGAGAAACACCTGAGTATGGCAAGCCCATATCAACCCCAGCATGGGGCCCCCGGCCTTGCCCTGTTCCCTCCCTTATCATCTACCCCCCCCACCCAAACTCAGCCCTGAGCCCCTCACACCTGCCATAAACATTGATTTTTTTTTTTTTTTTTTTTTTTGGTTTTTCGAGACAGGGTTTCTCCGTGTAGCTTTGTGCCTTTCCTGGGACTCACTTGGTAGCCCAGGCTGGCCTCGAGCTCACAGTGATCCGCCTGGCTCTGCCTCCCGAGTGCTGGGATTAAAGGCGTGCGCCACCACCGCCCGGCTTAAACTTTGATTTTAAGCAAACTTTGGTTTTACTTATTTGCACTAGGCTTAACCGTGAAAACAAATATAGAAGGTCAACGCTGCTTTTTAAATGGTTCATATTTGTATTTAGAATGACTTAGTATTGAGCACATTAAAAATATGATCATTTAAAAGGTGATTGACCATTAATTTGTATGTTTTAACTATTTTAACGGTTTACAACAAGTTAATAGCTTTCATAAGATTAGGATTTTACAGTATTAGACATACATTTCCAAATTAATTAATGTTAACCTGAGTATACCTTTACAAACTCAGGAATTATCATACAGAAATCAATTCTACGCCAAAATATCTTGGAGACTGGTCATTGCTTCTTTAGTCTAAAAGGCAGATAGTATGATTATGTTTTTTTTGCTTGTTAATTTTTTTTTTTATTTTGAGACAGGGTTTCTCTGTGTAGTTTTGGTGCCTGCCCTGGATCTCACTCTGTAGACCAGGCTGGCCTCTTCTCACAGAGATCCCCCTGGCTCTGCCTCCCGAGTGCTGGGATTAAAGGTGAGGAAAACCACTGCCCGGCAAGACTAAGTTTTAACAGTGTTACCTTAGTTGGTTCATATCACATGGTCATCTTAAGATGGTGATGAAATTATGTGGCATGTATTTTAACCTTAGTAAAGATGGCTACCATGCACACTATCTTTTTATTCTCAGGAGGCATCAGCTAAGACGAAGGAAAACTATATGGCTGCTATAAAAAACTATCCATTTTATATAATGTTATAGCAGATCTAATTTGTTACACAAGACTTGAATCATAGATACATGATATATAATCATATATATATGCTATAGTAAATTAAAATCACCTATGTGTAGCTCATTTTCTCTTCAGCCTTTTATTACAAGTTTTAAGTTAATTTTAAAAAAAAAATGTGTAACAGGAGACTTTACAGACTTTTTAACCATATCCAATGATCTTACAAATCTTGAGATAAGGAGTATATTGAATAGAGAGATACCTCTATTCTCTATTTAATAATTTATACATAGCATCAGTTAATATCGAGCCATGATGTTTTTCAGCATACCTATTTTGAGTGATTGTGTGCAAACTGGGAATCCGAATCTGTCCATTTATGATCAGACAACTCTGATTCTTCTAAATCCACCCAATAAACTCTTATCCAAATTTAAATAATGAGCAAAGTCAGTTTAAATATTTAATGGCTGAGAAGCATCTAATTAAAGCTGATTGATTCTAGCAAGTATGACTTCTAAGCTATATCACCTGGGATGGGTACAAGCTTGAGGAGCATGTGGAATTTGTTTATAGCATACATGTTCTTGTCCTTTTTAAGTCATCTCTAAAAACATTAAACGCAATCTCTATTTTTCCAGAGAGGGTTTCTCTGTGTTGTCCTGACTGTGCTGGAACTCCCTGTAGGCCAGACTGGCTTCAAACTCACAGAGATTTGCCTGCCTTAATTAAAGGCATGCAAAACCACCACAGGTTGCTAAAAAATTTAATTCCTAAATCTGTGGATTTTTAGATGTAATTTTAGGCATGACACAGAAGGTAATTTCAAAATTCTTAAGAGGGAAAATTGTGGATAATTATCTCTAGAATCCAACTAACATGCTACTGTTATTGTAGGTGTGAAACAAATAATTGACCTGTATTTTATTTAGAGGCACAATA